AAACAGCATCGTCCTCCCCGGGGCAGGAGCTGCTCCTGCTGCTTGGCTGACTGCCCTGGTTGTCTGCCTTCTCCCTCCCCTGCCAAGAGCCTCAGCCCTCCACTTCCGGTCAGCACCTGGGCCTGGAGCTGGGGGTTTCTCTCTGCAGAGCTGCCTGGAGCGGGGTGGTTGAGCTGTTGACTTCTTGGCTCTCATTAGCTCTCCTTGGCTTTTGGCAGGGGAAGGAAGAGGGGGAGGGAAGGAGGGGGCGAGGGAGGCTGAGTGGCAGCTGGCTCCCAGAGCTTCCCGCTCCCCATCTGACTTGCCTGCTGCATTCCTTGGCAGGCAGGACAGGAAAGCCTGTCGCAGAGATGCCACCCATCACGTGCCAAGCCTTCTGAAGCTTCCGGCCCTTCCTGCTGCAATTCCAAGGAGCACCTTGGCAAAGCTAAACTTCGATGCTCTCTTAGGAGGTGGATGAACGCCTGGTCCTCCTCTCCCCTCTCCTCCGTAGCCTCCAGTGCTTGCTCTGGCACCAGCAACCCCATTTTCTATCTTTGGAGCCCAAGGCTGGAGCTGATGAAGCTCTTAAGAGGGCAGGTGAGGTTTCAACTGAGTGCCCAAAGGTACCCAGGGTGGCCGACACCAGCCTCACTTGGGGTTGCCATTTTCTCCTAACTTCAGTGCTATCACCCTCTGTGGCTATTTCTGTGGAACTAGACATGAGGAGCAAAGGACTTTCTCCAGCTTCTCCTCTCCAGGTTGGAGTTCTCACCAGATGGCTTCAGCCAGTATCTCAAAAAAGGAGCTGCTCCTGTGGCTTAGCTAAGTGCCCCATTTCCTCTCTCCCCCTCTCCCTCCCACACATGCTCCTGGTCCTCTGTGTCAGAGCCAGGCCCTCTGTGGTGAGGCCCCCAACCCACTGTGGTAGACTCTGTGGAAGCTGAAGGAACAAGCACACTTAAGAGAGAGCAGGGGGTTGGGCGTGGTGGCTCACGCCTGTAATCCCAGCACTTTGGGAGGCCGAGGCAGGTGGATCACTTGAGGTCAGGAGTTTGAGACCAGCCTGACCAATATGGTGAAACCCCGTCTCTACTAAAAGTACAAAAATTAGCTGGGCATGGTGGCGCGTGCCTGTAATCCTAGCTACTCGGGAGGCTGAGGCAGGAGAATTGTTTTAACCCAGGAGGCGGAGGTTGCAGTGAGCCAACATTGTGCCACTGCACTCCAGCCTGGGAGAGTGAGACTCTGTCTCAAGAAGCAGTGGGAGGGTGAGCGTTTTAGCTCTGGCCACCTTCATGCTCCCATTGTCCTCTGTCAACTGCAAAACCAGGAAGACAGCAGAGAGTGGCAGGCTGGTCATCACCAAGCAACAGGAAAGAGCCTTCAGTGAGAGAAGGCACCTCCTCTTCTTGGTCAGTAACGATTGAGACTTCCCATCAAAGAATCTGAAGAAGAGCTGGAAGGTGAAGCAAAGGCAACCACAGTGACTAGCCAGAGTTCTCCTACTGTGGTTTTCATATGTGACAGCCACTGTGAAAGGAAGCTTCCCCGTGAGCAGGATTAGGCAGAGACAGGCTCCAAATCACAGACCTGAGGCCATGTATGGGGGGCCCTGGAGAAGCTGCTATGTGTTACAGCTCTTTCTGAAACTGAGGCTCCTTGGACAAGGGCGGTCATGTACAGTGGTGTGGGTTATTCACTGCACAAGGGCAGGTGAGGATCAACAGGGGCTGAAACCCAGCCTGTGTTTTGCCTGGCCAGCTGGGCGTCTGTGGGGCTGGGCCCACCAGAGGGAGTCTTGTTTTCCATTTTGGATGAACGTGCATTGTAGGCTAGTTGCATCCTGCTGTGGACTTCAGTCATGTTTAGTTCAGAACCTGGGCCTACCTTATCAAATAAGCAGGGTTTGTGGTCTCAGTCTGCAAAATGACAGAATGCTTAGTACAGCATCCCCAGACATTTGCTTTGTATATCCAAGTCCTGAGTGACCTGGAATGAAGCTTGCATTGGAAACAGAAGCTCACACAGCACTTTCTCTATTGACTGGGGAGTGCCAGGCCCCTTCGGCACCCAGACTAACATGGCCCTAAAAGCTTCCATGAACCATATTAAACATCTCCTTAGGATCTCATGGAAAAGGGGGCATGTGTGGTCCTAACAGATAATCCCTCTATGTCATGGCATGACATAAGACTTGGAAAGAACAATTTGTTTTTTCCAAGTGCTTCTCTTCTACCAAGAAAAGAAAGGACATTGGCATGTTCTGGGGAGAAATTCTGAATTCAGATTCAGTCTTGACAAGCCTCCAGCTGAATGAGCTATCCAATCACCTGGATCAACTTTTTTTTTTTTTTTTTTTGCCATCAATTAATCCTAAATGGCAATTGGCCTCATGTCTTTGGTCCTTGGTCCGTGAGCTGCCCCGCTTCACTCCCCGATTTCCATTATTAGCCCCATGACGTGGGTCATGTTCTACACGTCTTTTCCAGCAACACGGGAATGCTATTGAACTAGCCCTCCATTTAGTTTTATAGTTTGCAGTATACAGCAGATAAAACATTCACGTAGATCTTCTCTTAGAGAAATCAAGTACTTAATGCATATGGTATTCAGAGAATGGCTATCAAATTGCAAGGCATAGTGGTTGGTCAGTTAGTTCTGTTTGATGAGACCACTGGGCTGTTGAGACCAGATTCCTGGGTTCCAGCCTTAAGTAATGTGAGAGCCAACACATGGGTCATATCCCCAAACTTCTATAGCCATGGGCCACATCCCCAAACTTAGCCACATCTTGTGGGGGTATAGTGTCACCCCAAGAGCATGAAGAGCATGGATGGATAGCAATACATCTCCACCACTGGAACCCCAAATTCTGAATGCATCACCTATTACAGTCTCTTGTTCATAACAGAACAGCAAAGAATTTAGGAACTCAGGTTTTTTTTTTTTTTTTTCCCCCCCAGTTTGGGCCTTTTATCCATACCCTCAGGAGCTTCGGATACTTTTCTCCTTCAGCTCGCCCTGAAACTCTCTCTGGAAGCTCTCCCATGTGTGCACTTTAGACACTTAGGGGTGTCGTGGTGGTTTCTTGTTCCAAATGCTTTGCTGACAGACCTTGGAGAACCCCCAAGCCAACACCACTTCTGGGATGAAGGGAAATCAATAAACGCTCCTCACAGAGCTTCGGCGAGACCATTCTTGCCTTTCCTGATACTCACTTCTCTGGAAAAACAGCCTGAAGATGTCTGGACGTTTTGTCCAAGTACCAGGCTTCATCTCTCGCACCCGCGGCCTGCACGGTCACCCTGAAGAGCTCCCGGGGGGCTGTCAGGGCTCCGCTTACAGTTTGTACCTGAGAGCCACAAGCACCCTTGGCTTGTCAGCAAAATCCCTAAACATCCTCTACCTGCATAGTAACCAGGCCTCAAAAGAGACAGAGAGAGATGGGATCCCACTACCTTCTCTCAGGCCATCGTGGAGCGAAGGAGGTCCCAGAGGCCTTGCCTCTGACAGCCCTTGACAGCTTCTTGGTGTGCGGAGCCACATGGCCATGGCAAGCCAGCCATGAAGACAGACGAGGCACCCATGGGCCTTGTGTTCTGCACGTTCTGATTTCTCATGAGGAAAGGCCCACAGAGAGGGAAGACTGAGGAACGGAAGGGATGAATACCGATGTTTAATTGCCACCTACTAGAGTTATTTGATGTTTACATGTAGCAAATTCAAGATAATGTTTAAATGCACTTAAAATGCATCTAGCTATGACAGGTAAATGACTAGGTTGCTTTCAACCCAGGATCCTTAGACTTTTCCTTGAAAGGATGAAATATGTATACCAGTCACACAGTAGTCAGGGTTTACAAGGATTTTCCTCTTCAACAGAGGTGGAACAAAGGCAAGTCAGTATCAATGGGCTGCCACCCTTTGGGAGGGGAATGTGGCCTGTTCCCTGCGTGGGACCCCTGCTCCCTGGTTGCTATCTTGGTTCCCTCTGGTTTGATGTTCATGTGATAGGACGGCCCCACGATTCAGTGGGATTGAGTATTTCTTGTACACTGAGCTCGTCATTCAAATCTTGGGGCGACCAGCATCGAAAGAGGGGATTGGCCTGTGTTGTTCTACAAACCATGGTTGAGAGTCTCAGCCATGCACCCCAGGGAAGAGCCACGGACTCCCCACTCCTGCCTGTTGCCACGGCTGTCTTTATGTGCCACTGTGGGGAGCTCTACCACTCTCTAGATGGGGCATACCATGAACCTGTAGGAATCTGAAGCCCATCTTTACCCAGCCTGTCAGAATCAAGGCCTGAGGAGGCCGGTAGGACCTTGCCCCCCTCCCCACCCCCTCCAGGGGAGTACCCAGGACGCCGCAGGGATTCAGCTACTTCCCTCCTCTCCCTGTCACACTGTGCACATGAGGCTGATGGGGGCTGGAAGGGATTCATGCAGAGGCAACTAACACACACGCCAGCTAGGCCACATCACCAGGACCCATGCAGCACAGCCGCTTTCTGCACACAGCAAAAGCCACCTACACAGCAACATTAGCTCACGACCTACACCGGCGTGACTGCCAGGGTTCACAGAGGGAAATTTGGCTTTTTTTTTTTTTTCGATGAGCTACGGTTCTGAGCCAATTTATTTCATGGTATAGTTCGATGGCTTCTCCCTGGGCTGCTGCAGAAGATGCACAAACCGCACAGCCCCGAGGGCAGCAGAGTCCCTCCTCCTCAAAGCCCTAAACAGAAGATCAAATGCCCAGGCCTGAGGCTGGGCAATCAAGTGTGCACCTTCTGCAGAGGGAGCCGCTTGCTCTTTTTGCATTTTCATCCCTAGAAGAGAAGCTGCAGACACTCGCAAAAGAAAAGAAAAGGGCTGAGTCAAGGGAGAAAGCACTGGACTCCCTCCCACCCCAAAGGAAACAACAACCAAAGGGGGAAAAAAAGAAAGAAAGAAGAAAGAAAAAACCAAAACCAAAATCAAAAGAAAAGTTGAGGGAAGAAAACCGACTGAACTTACCACACTGCGAGTGAACTTTTCTAGGGAAGTTCTACGACCTTGCTCACTTTCTGGCTTTAGGAAAAACAAAAACAAAAACAAAAAAAAAGGTAGGGAGAAAAATACAGAAAAAAAAAATCTTCAGCTTACACGTGGTTTCCAAACAGCAGCAGCCGCAGCTAAAGAATAACAAAAACCAAAGCAAAATGGGGTGAAAAGTGGGAAAAGAGAAGCAGCCAGAGCTGTTGGAAGAGTCAGTGGGAGAGACAGAAGACAGAAGCCCACGGGAAATGGTGCCACCTCCTTGGAGCAGCGAGCAGAGACGGGGCTTTGCTTCTCCAGGGGCCGTGAATTGTGCTTGCGGGGCTTGGATCAGAACCATCACGACTTTGCACAGGACCACAGTTGGTGGGTTTGAGCAGCTTGCTTGCTGCTTTCAACCTGCTGTGCCCACAGGCAGGAGTCCTGGGGGTGGGGGCCCCAAGTCCTGACACAGAACAGACTAGCTCTGAGGGCCAGCGGGGTGTGGGAGGGACGTCAGGAAGTGGCTGCTGGGGAAGTGAAGTCATCTACTCGTCCGTGAATCTGCCTTAGGACTGTTTTCTCTCTCGAGATTCCCCTGCCCAGAGGCGGCCAGAAAGATTGCTAACTTCAGTGACTTCCTAGTGACCGTCGTTCTGTGTCCTTAGAGCAAGGAGGGTCTACTCATAGCCTTTGCCATGGACAAAGGGTCTAGGGTCTCAGAAGACAGTAATATGGGGATTGTTCTGAGAAACAGAAAATGTTTTCTCAGTATCCAAAAGGTGACCTAACACCTGCCAAGATGTACGTACAACAGGCTAGAGGAAGCTCAGAAACCATTGTGGGGAACTCTTAGCTGGGGTGCCCAGAACAGGGGTGAGGAGAGGCAAAGCCCTCGAATGTCCTTCCAGGCCTAGCCTCCTTCTACTACAGGAGGAAGAGAGGTATGGGGTGCTCCTGACCTTCCCTTCACCCCACATTTCCTACCTGCAGGGGTTCCGGGAGAGTAGAATGACCGCCCAAATACCTGCTAGTATATCCTGGAGCCCATTCCAGGGTCCTGAGCCCGAGGCTGAGAAGTTCAGAGAGTGCACACACTCACATAGACACACACATACACCCAGCAAATAACTGAAATGAGGGAGCTGAAGAGGCAGCCTGGTGTCTGTGGGTGTGTGGACTGTGCTGAAAGCAGAGGGGACAGGCCAAAGGCAGCCGCCTGTGTGGATGAAGTCGGGGGACTTCCTTGGAGCTGGGCCCCTTGTCAGCTCAGCCAGCTGCCGGAAGACAGACAGGAGGTTGCAGAAGGAAAATAAACACAAATGACACGCCACCACAGAGTTGGGCTGGGCTTTCTTCTTGCACTAGGAATGGAAGGACTCATGCTTGGCCCTGGGTACCAAGTCTATTCTGGGGATGGCAGGACTCAGCTTGAACCCTGTGGCCAGCCTGGGTGGCATACACTCGGCTCAAGTCAGGCCAGCCCTGGGCCCTGCAGCTGTCATTCTCGGCCTATCATTCTTGTCCTCTGGCTCACAGAGGGTGGCCACTGCTCTGGCTCACTTGGGCTCCTCTGCCTTGCACTGGCCATTGAGCTGCCTGGAAAACCATCATCATTGGTACTGAAGTTTCCTAGAGTAGCCCTCAGGACTCAGCTCACCTACGCCCTGAGAACCTGGTTCTTCGGTGTGACTACCATTTATTTTGAAAATATTAGAAAAGAGACTGAATTAGGGATGAAGGATCAGAAGGCTGTGCCTCAAGACTCCGTCCAGGTCAGTTCTCAGCAGAAAAGTGAGGCCGATTCATATTCCCTCTCTCCACTGGAGGTTGCGAATCTCACATACCTTTTATGACCTGGATACGGTGAACCCGTCCCTGAAATTGGAAGAATACCCTAGGCCTACCTGAAAGTGCCGAGTTACAAATCAGATCCACACGTGGAGACTCTCAGGAAGAAATAGAAGGAGGAAGCACATTTTGTCACTGTTTTGGGAAACAACTCGGTGTTGAGATGTTGTTGGTATCTGCAAGGGCTTTCTGTCTCAAGAACATGCCTTACTCCGGGAGCTGGGAGGATAATCCTAAGGAACTTTTCCCAGACAGGTTGCCAGTTCCTTCCTCACTCGAATGACCTCCTCTGAGAGGCTTTCTTCTTGGAAGGGAGGATCTGTAACCACAGGGTCTGCACACAGATCTGCAGGGTTTGGGGTGCATTTTTCCTTTGTGTTCAAACCCACAAGGAGAATGAATGGCCTCTAGCTTCTCTTCTTCAAGCTGTGTAGACAGGCCCAGATTGGTCAAACTGACAGAGCCTTAGAAAGTCGCCAAATTGTGATCAGGTCAGGTGTCTTGAGCCACAGAAAATAAGGAAAACTTACTTTGACCTTCACCCATGAGATCTGGGCTGGAGTTATCAAAAGTTCCTGTAACTTTTCTTTCCTCTAGTTCTTAGAAAAAATGGGCATTAGAGCCATGTGTGAGGGCGTCAGCCTCCTCCAAAGGAGCCCCTCCACTGACATCCTCCATCAGGGGAGTCGACAGGAGGCCAGGCTCCACACCGCCCATCACGTAGCCACACCTGAGGGGAGGGATGCAGGAAACCCAGAGAGCTGGGCTGCTGACAATCGGGATGCCCCAGAAGTCCTCTTCCCTTTCTCAGACTCTATGGCCTCTTCCCAGGGCTACACAAGGGCAGGAGAGCAGGGTATGAACACTGTCCAGGACTCTGGAGTTGTGTGGTCCCAACCAGATACACAGACAGGATCCTGGCACATGAGGGTGACAGCACACAGAGAGAAGGCTTGCGTGGCTGAGAGGCAGCCCAATGGAGAGCGTGTGATGGGCAACCACGTGCTTAGGACCTGGGGCCGGGAGGCCAGGAGGGAGAAGAAAGGGTTGCATGTGCTCCTAAGTGCTATGGCACAGAAGTCATGGGGTTTGGTGCAAGTTGAGCCACACTTAACCACACATGGGCCTCAGATCAGAACTGAAAAGCACAAAGGGTGGGCAGGTGTACTGAAACCAGGAGCCCTCTCTCTTGCCCTCTATTACCTTCCTGGACCCTATTCTCCTGCCTGCTCTTCCTCCACTCTTCCCAGGACTCTAGCTGAGTTCATCCCTGCTTCTGTCACCCCTCACCTGCATGCTGAGGGCCCCTGCGCCCCAAATCCGTGACTCTATGGGCTGCAAGGAACTATGGCCGAGTTCTAAGGAGAAGGAAGAAGGAGCTGGGTGCAGTTACTTCTTGGTTAAGAGAGAAAGGCAACACCGTGGGGCAGGTGAGGGAGAGGAAAGGGGTGTCAAGGAGGGAGAAACCCCAGGATGACTTCAGGTACTTGATCATGCTCTTGAAACTGACAAGGCTTTCTGTCCAGTGAGGGAACTGCCCCAACCCTGGCCTCATACTCCTCTCTGGGCTGGTCAGGGAGAGAAGTCTGAGGTGAGGGGGCTGGACTTTGCAGTGAGGGGCTCTCTCCGGTGTCCTAAGGGTTTTACATGTGTTACTGCCAGCCCTGCCCTCCTATGCTGAGCCGCTGTGGCCTTGGCGTTTTGTCACCCTATGTACCCACCCCCTACCCCACCATGGGCAGGACATGCAGCGAGAGGCAATAGGGATGAGGCAGGATGCCCCATCCTGGACCTTGCAGTGGGGCTGGGGTGGTGACAATTCTAACTGTTTTCTATTAGAATGGGAGCAGATAGAGAAGGGAAAGAAGAAAAAAGGAAATAAATAAAACCCAAGGGATGATATTCTCATTTCAAACCAGCAGCAAGCAGCAGGCAAGAGTCAACAGTGCTAAGAAGAGCAAGCCTGCCCTTCCCAAAGATACCTTCTTCTTGGCCAGCAGCAAGTCCTGATAAGCATTTGACCGGAGGAAGCGGGCATAGCTGTCACTCTTCATCAGCTTGTAGATGTGCTCCTGGGGAGGAAGGTGACAAGGAGACACAAGGAAGGGCTGTCAACCAGTGCTAAAGAACATTACAATCCAATTGATCACTGTTTTGGGGAAAGAGATGAAGGAACCTAGGTATGTTTGCGTGTACCTGGAAGAACTTGCAACATGTCCCACCCCCTCCCCCACCAAACTCAGAAGCACCAAACAAAACATATGGGCTCTATTAGAATAAAAGATCCCTGAGGATCATGTCCCAAAGGATTTGTAACTGGGCTTGAGTGCCATGTTGGTGTGCTTAATGATTAAAACCAGACACGACAATGAGGAGGAACAAACTGTTCTTCCACCTAACAACTTGGATGAATCTCAAGGGAATTAGGATGAGTGAAAAAGCCAAGTTCCAGATTATAAACCATATTATTTCATTTATGTAACAGTCTTGAAATGACAAATTATAGAGACAAAGAACAGATTAGTAGTTGCTGGGCTTAAAGATGAAGGAGGAGAGGGAACGAGGGAGGTGTGGTAATAAAAGGCAACAGGAAGGATCTTCATGGTGACAGAATGGTTCCGTATTTTGACACATCTTAACACATGTGATAAAGTTGTATAGAACTAAATGCACACATACATACATGGGGCACAAGTAAAATTGGGAAATATGAATAAAATCAGGGGATTGTAGCCATGTCAATATCACAGCTGTGATATTGCACTATAGTTTTGCAAGATGTTCCCTTTGGGGCAAACTGGGTAAACAGCACATTATTTCCTACAACTGCATCAGAATCGATGTGTATCTCAAAATAAAAAGTTTAATTTAAAAAAACAGGCAATAATGCAATTGGGTCAGTTTGTGCATTTCAGGGCCACAACCTCGTCCTGGAAGGAGTTCTTGGCAACCACATCACAGGATATGTAACTAACACCCAGGAGGCGTAGGTACTGCAGCAAGGTGCCACCTCTTCTCGGCTCCCAGGGGCATCTGTTATACATTCTGGCCTTGGCCAATAATTTCACCCCTGATTTCCAGCTAATTCCTAGAAACTTGCGGTCCCTTCCAAACAGATCTGTCCCCATCAAGGGTAGGAAAATCCTGGTCCATTAGAAAAGAGGACTTGTCAGTGGACAAAATATTATTTATCCATTGAAGTGGAATTCAGCTCAGCTGCATAGGAAAGCTTGGCTGTTCCAAGACAGAATGTGTTAGGAGGGAGGTTGGCCTTCACTGGGGATGGTGGGCTCGTTAGTTAGTGGCTGTCCTGATGGAAGAAGCATCTTCTCCCATGTATGCTCATTGTTCTTCCCACGAAGCCAGACAAAGGCCCTAGTGGTGAGGGGAATGGAGAGCTGGTCAGGGAGGAGGAGAGTGCTCAGCTGAGAGGCAGGACTGGTCATTAAGGATCTCTTCCTTGGTGCTCTTTCCAGGGAAGGGACGGAAGGAGGAGGCAGAGACCTCCTATCAGCTGGGGGACACATTTTAGAGATGTCTGGCCAGAAAAACCCAGAGCAATGACAAGGATTCACCAAGACTCACTCCTTACCCAGCACAAAAGAAAGGGAGAGCACAGTAGCCAAGATATGGAATCAACCTATGCGTCCATCAATGAATAGATAAATGGGTAAAGGAAATGCAGTATATGGGCATAATGGAATACTATTCGGCATTAGCAAAGAAGGAAATCCTATCATTTGTGACAACATGAACAAACCTGGAGAACATTATGTTAAGTGAAATACAGGTACAGAAAGACAAAATACCACGTGTCTTCACTTAAGTAGGGAGAACTTGGAGATATTGTGGGTTTGGTTCCAGACCACCACAATAAAGCAAGTCATAAGAAATATTTGGTTTCCCAGTACACATAAAAATTATGTTTACACTATATGGAGTCAATGATGTGTGCAATAACATTATGTCTAAAAAAACAAGGTACATACCTTAATTAAAATTTACTTTATTGTTAAAATACTAAGGATCATCTGAGCCTTCAGTGAGTCCTAATCTTTTTGCTGGAGGAGGGTCTTCTCTTGATATTGTTGGATGCTGACTGATTAGGGTGGTGATTGTTGAAGACTGGGGTGACTATGGCAATTTCTTAAAAATAAGACAATGAAGTTTGTTACATCCATTGACTCTTCCTTTCGCAAAGGATTTCTCTGTAGGGTGTGATGCTGTTTGATGGCATTTTACCCACAGTTGAACTTCTTTCAAAATTACAGTCAATCCTGTCAAATTTTGCTGCTGCTTTATCAACTATGTTGATGTAATATTCTAAATTATTTGCTGTCATCTCGACAGTGTTCACAGCATCTTCATTAGGAGTAGATTCCATTCTCAAGAAACCACTTTCTTTACTCTTCCATAGGAAGCAACTCCTCATTCACTAAAGTTTTATCATAAGGTTGTAGCAATTCAGTCACATGTTCAGGCTCTATTTCTAAATCTAGTTCTCTTGCTATTTCCACCACATCTGCAGTTACTTTCTACACTGGGATCTTGAACTTCTCAAAGTCATCCATGAGGGCTGGAATCAACTTCTTCCAAACTCCCATTAATGTTGATATGTTTACTTCTTTCCATGAAACACGAATGTTCTTAATGGCAACCAGAAGGGTGAATCCTTTCTAGAAGGGTTTTGATTTACTTTGCCCAAATCCATCAGAGGAATCACTCTCTGTGACAGCTATAGCTTTAGGAAATGTATTTCTTAAATGATAAGACCTGAAAAGTTGAAATTACTTCTTGATCCATAGGCTACAGCATGGATGTTGTGTTAGCAGTCATGAAAACAACATTAATCTCCTTGTACATCTCCATCAGAGCTCTTGGATGGCTTGGTGCATTGTCAATGAACAGTAATATTTGGAAAGAAATATTATTTTTTTTTCCTCAGCAGTAGGTCTCAACAGTGGCCTTAAAGTATTCAATAAATCATGCTGCAAACAGATGTGCTGCCATCGAGACTTTGTTGTTCCATTTATAGAACACAGGCAGAATAGATTTAGCATCATTCTTAAAGGCCTTAGGATTTTCAGAATAGTAAATGAGCATTGGTGTCAACTTATAGTCACCAGCTGCATTACCCCTAGCAAGAGAGTCAGCCTGTCCTTTGAAGCTTTGAAGCCAGGCAATGACTTCTCTTCTCTAGCTATGAAAACCCTAGATTTATCTTCTTCCAATATAAGGGTGTTTACACTGAAAATCTGTTGTTTAGTGCAGCTGCCTTCATCAATGATCTTAGCTAGATCTTCTGGATAACGTGCTGCAGCTTCTATATCAGTACTTGCTATTTCCCTTTGCACTTCTATGTTATGGACTTGAACCAACCTCTGCTAGCTTCAAACTTTTCTACTGCAGCTTCCTCACCTCTTTCAGCCTTCACAGACTTGAAGCAAGGTAGGTCCTTGCTCTGGATTAGGCCTTTGGCTTAAGGGAATGTTGTGTCTGATTGGATCTTCTATTCAGACCACCGAAACTGTCTCCACATCAGCAATAAGGTTGTTTTGCTTTCTTATCCTTTGTGCGTTCTCTGGAGTAGCATGTTTAATCTTCAATAACCTTTACTTTGTATTCACACCTTGGCTGTTTGGCACAAGCGGCCTAGCTTTCAGTGTACCTTGGCTTTCAACATGCCTTCCTCACTAAGCTTAATCATTTCTAGTTTTTGATTTAAAGTTAGAGACATGTGACTGTTACTTTTGCTTGAACACTTAGAGACCACTGCAGAGTTATTAACTAGCCTAATTTCAATATAGCTGTCATTTCAGGGAATAGAGAGGCCCAAGGAGAGGGAGAGAGATGGGGGGAATGGCTGGTTGGTAAAGCAGTCAGAAAACAAACACACACAACATGTATTGATTAAGTTCATTGTCTCATACAGGTGTAGTTGGGCACCCCCAGAGCAATTACAACAGTAACATCGAAGATCACCAACCACAGATCACCATGAAAATATAATCATAATAAAAAAGCTTAATGTTGCAAGAATTACCAAATTGTGACACAGACACAAAGTGAGCACACGTTATTGGAAAAACGGTGCTGATAGACTCACTTGATGCGAGGTTGCCACGAACCTTCAATTTGTAAAAAACACAGTATCTATAAGGCATTGTAAAGGGAAGTGCAATAAAACGAGGTGTGCCTGTATATGGAATGGAAGACAATCACACTCACAGAAGCAGAGAGCAGAATGGCAGTTCTACCAGGGGCTGGTGGGGAGTAGGAAGGACTGGGGAGACATTGGTCAAAGGACACCACATTTTAATTAGAGAGGGAGAATAAGTTCAAGAGTTCTCTTGAACATCATGGTGACTAGAGACTGAAGTTAGAATCAATATATTACATACTTGAAAATTGCTAAGAGAGTAGATTTTAAGTGTTCTCACTATAAACAATAAGTGTGTGAGGCCATGCATATGTTAAATGGCTTGATTTAAACATTCCACAATGTATACATATATCAAAATTTCCTGCTGTATACCATAACTACATACAACTTTTACATCTCAATTTAAAAAATAAACAAAAAGAAAGTGAAAGTAGAAAGCAGAAAATGTCTTGGTCACATGTGAGGACCTCTTGGTTTCATCTTTGGTTGGAACCCAAGGAATCTTGTTTTGGGACTTATTCTTCCTGAGATACCCTCATATTTACAAAAGCAGGGGAGTTACCCAACTAATGGGAATAAACCCACTGGAAGGACTCAAATGAAATTAAACAGTGGCTTGGTTCTTTTTTTTTTTTTTTTTTTTGAGACAAAGTCTCGCTCTGTCACTCAGGCAGTGGTGCGATCTCAGTTCACGGCAACTTCTGCCTCCCGAGTTCAAGTGATTCTCGTGCCTCAGCCTCCTGAATAGCGGGGACTACAGTTGCACACCACCACACCCAGCTAATTTTTGTATTTTTAGTAGAGATGGGGTTTCACCATGTTGGCCAGGCTGGTCTCTAACTCCTGGCCTTAAGTGATCTGCCCATCTGAGCCTCCCAAAGTGCTGGGATTACAGGCGTGAGCCACTAC